TATTTCTCATGAACATGAAAACTCTTAACAGAATATATCAAATGGAATCCAGTAATATGCAAAAGGGATAATACATCAGGACCAGGAGGAGCTTATCGCAGGAATACAAGGATGTATCATTCAAAACTGAATCAATGTAATTCCTCCACTAACTGAATAAAAAAGAAAACCCACATATATATACTCATCTCAATAGATGCAGAAAAAGCTTATAACAAAATTCAAAACTCACTAATGATAAAAACTCTCAACATATTAGGATGGAAGGGATCTTCCTCAGTTTTACAGCTAGCATCATACTCAATGTGACATACTGAATGCTTTCCTTGAGAACGAGAACAACGCAAGGATGTCTTTCTTACCAGTTCTACTCAACACTGTAAGCCAACACACTGTACTGAGGATCTAGCCAGTACACTAAGGGGAAAAAGAAAGAAATAAAAGGCAAAAAGATTTGAAACAAACAAAAAAAAAGCTGTCTCTGTTCACAAACAATATGATTGTAAATGTAAAAAATCCTAAGAAATTGCCAAATAAAAAAGCAAGCTACTAGAACTAATAATTTAACAAGGTTGTAGGATGGCAAGATACAAAAGTCAGTATTTAAAAAACAATTTGTGGGCTGGCCAAGCTGCTCGTTGGTTAAGAGTTGGCTTGGGAGCATGAGATCTGAGCAGCAGGGCCGCTGGTTCGGATCCCACATGGGCCAGTGATGCTGTGCCCTCTACAGCTAAGATGGTGAACAACAGCTCGACCTGGAGCTGGGCTGCTGTGAGTCGCAGGCAATGGCATAGGCTGCAGTGAGCTGCCATGAGCAGCCGTCCAGGGGCCGGCAACAGATCTGTCTCACCTGGGAAGAGTGCAATGATAATACCAACATGGGCCAGTGAAGCGATGTCCTCCACAACTAGAAAGAAGAACCAAAGGACAGCAACTTGTCTATTACCCTTCCTTGATTCCCCAATGCTGTTCCCTCCCCCAATTCCCCAATAAATTCTTTTAAAAAATATATGTTTTTCTATATACTAACAAACAATTGGAAAATAAAAATTTTAAACGTACAATTCAGCACCATTAAAACTATCAGATAGGGCCGGCCGAGTGGCGCGTTGGTTAAGAGCTGACTTGGGATACCAGAGGTCCCCGGTTCGGATCCCACATATGAGGGCCAGTGACACTGCCCTCTACAGCTAAGATGCTGAACAACAGCTCAACCTGGAGCTGGGCT